GGTACTTAGTTGCTTTGATATGACAAGTAGTGTGAGCAACAGGGAAATATGTATAATTTTCTGTAAGCTGATATCAGTCCTCTTCAAACTTCCCATAAATTCCCATTAGATACATTCTATTTTGTTTGTGTAATGTTACAACTGTGTGTTGTATTGTTTGCCCTACAGATGTTTGTTGGTTTAGAATGCAGTCATAGGTTCTGTCCTAGATGTTGGAAGGAATACATTACTACTAAAGTTATGGATGAGCATATTGGAGAGGTAAGCTATTACCTATTACATCATATAAACCAATACTCTACTTTATTACTTTATTTTTTAATTACCATGTTTCATTGTTCATCAGCACTAAACTGTCATCTCCTGTTTTTAGAACATTTCTTGTCCTGCTCATAAGTGTGACATCCTCGTAGATGAAGTTTTTGTAGGGTAAGTATTTTAAGATTTTAAGGACTGGTTCTGGCTCTGGTTATACAATTGTTCAAAAACTGATAATACAATCCATAAGGTAATAGGTCATTTTCGACATATTAAAATTCAGCTTGGTAGTGAGGACTAGAGGACACAAACAAAAGAAGTGAATAAACTTAGTCATTCAATTTCCTTTGTTTGTGTCCTCTAAGCCTCACTGCCAAGCTGAATTTTAGTGTATCGAAAATGGTCTATTCACTATCCACTTTATAGTGTAGTTTAGTTTGTGAACATGGTTGATGTTGATTTTATCTGGTGAATAGCATTACCCACCCTTTGAACAACTTGGCCCTGATGATTAAGCAGGTGACTCATTTGAAAATAATTGAATAAAAGCAATGATTGTCATATTATGGGAATGGAATTAAATTGTATGCTCAAGTCTTTATATGGATAAATCATTAGTATGTACATGTAGACCCAGGTAATATGGAAATTTGGGCATGTTCCTTTGATAAAAAGGTAAAGGTAATGGTCTGCATACAAGCCAGGCCAGTACTTATCTCCAGTTTCTGTATCATGATGAGGCTAGGAGTATTTTTACTCTTCCCTTGATGGGATGCCAGTCCATCACAAGGTTACCCCCTAGCATTAAATTCGCTGGCACCCATTTATACACTCACTAACCACGAGTCCACTTCAACTCCAACAAGGTGTCCCTTTTGAGGCCATATGAACCAGGTTCCACTATACCTGCAATGCCAGTATAATTGTGGGTTTGTCGTGTCTGTCTAGTTGGTCGGTTACCTTATTCAGTCAACAAAGCAAAATACAATCAAGATATCAAATTGGCTAATGTAAGTTATGTTTTTAATGGCAGGCAAGTAGTAAAAGACACTAAAGTAAAGGCACGATATCATCATCTGATAGCTAACAGCTTTGTTGAGGTAAGTGATGTATAAAAATATTGTAAAAGTATCCATTTGGTGAACAGTCTTTGCTGTTGTGTGTTGTTGGTCCACAAGGAATTACATTTGCATTATACATTTCTGTCCACCATTAATAATCATCTATCCATCCAAATTACCCATCTTTTGATGTTAAGGATCTTGCTTGTTTGTTTCCAAGAATTGTGATGAACTTGGTATAGCCTGCAAAAATCCTTAATGCCATTAGATGTGTTTTTTAGTATCTATGGTGTGTTTGTATCTATGATGTGTTTGTACAATGATTGTGCTGATAAGGTTGTGGCTTTCAGGGTGACTCAGCGCCTGTTGGAGTACATGTAATGTGAACTGCAATAGTTGTGACATCTATGCCCCTTTGGTCCAACACTTTTTCATGATTTATTTTCCCTAATTGTTCTGAAAGTCATGAGTAACAGTGGCTACTCTTAATTAGACCAAATACTTATCCAGGAGTATTGTTGAGTTTGAGTAGTAGTCAAGATATCCCACCAAATTGCCAGTGTCTATTTGTATACCTGGCTGTAGAGAGGAGCTTTTTGGCTAACATGTACATGTGCAGTGACACATGAATTACACCTGCAGGAATGCTCAAAGTCATAGAAGAACTCAACTAACAGTACTAAAACAACAACTCGTGTCAAAAACTGTGCCAATGCTCAATGTTTGTTCCTCTCTCACAGCCAGGGTGATCAAGGTGTGTGTTGATCCTGATTAGAGGTTAGAGTATGTTTTGGTACTAATCAGTCAGGCTTTCTTGTATTTGTAGAGCAACCGATTGATGAGTTGGTGTCCAGGGCCTGACTGTCAAAATGCTGTGAAAGCTAACTACCATGATGCTTTACCTGTGACATGCCTTTGTGGGTACACGTTTTGGTGAGTTTGTCTTCATTATTCAAATGTGCTTTACTGTGTGGAGCAGAAGAAGTAATGTCCCTTGAAACAGTGTGCAAAGAAAGTTGTGACCTAAGGGCCAGTGGATGCTGGCTATCCTTTATTTGCCCAATGGGGAAGTGAAGTACTGTCAGAGATGAAATTATTGTTTAATTTAATGTTTAAAAAAATTGATCTTGCTTATGAGAAATGTGGGGAGGTAGTGACAAAGTTAGTCACATTTTGCACAAGCTTGGAAATCAGTCTTTGTACCCTGCCTTGCTTTTGTTAACGTTTTAGTGACATTCTGCTAACACACTTCTGGCACTGAAATTTTATATGTAGGTATGCATCACATGACTCTCACACCATTAAAAGTAAATAAAAGCCTTATCATCTAGAAACTAACCACTAAACTATGAAGTAATGATGTTGTGTTCTAATGGCTGCCATTGTATGTTCTACAAAATGCAGTGGCAGGTAAAAACTTCATTTTTACTTACATGTTTATCTGGTATTTGTCTGATCTTGCATTGGTATATCATAAGAGTTTTATCAAATGGGTTGAAAAGTGTGTTTTAAGCATTGAACTATCACAAGAAAGCTTATTACATGACAGCTTTGGATGGGAAGAAAAGTAAAGTTTTCCCCACAGTTGAAAACATTGAGTACTAGCAAGAGCCTAATGTTGTTGTGTTTTACTTGTTCAGCTTTGGCTGTGGAGAACCTGTTCACGAGCCTGTGAGATGTGCTGTAAGTTACTTACGTTTTTGTTTGTTGCACTGAGCTAGAAATAACAGCCAAACAGCAGGTGTATGTGCCACCAAATTTGTAAATTACTAACTGTAAATCTTTGTGCTGGAGACATTACTTAGACAGTCTGACATCATTTGTGCACATTTCCAAAAAAATGTAGGTTAGGAAGAGCTCTTAGCCTGACAACTTCAACAGGCATACATTTACAACTCTTTTCTGTTAACTAAATGTTGTTGTCACAGGACGTGAATTGGGGCTTAATATGGTTCATGAAATTTTTGAAAAGCCTATAGATCTACTTTACTTTCAATCTTGGCCATTCCTTCAATTTCTTTCACAGTCAAGAGTGTGTCTGCTTTGCTTTGGCATTTTCCAAACACTTTGGTTGAGTTCATTGTTGCCGAAAAGATAAAAGCACACATGGTTTTTATAAATAAATCAGATCCAAAACTAATGGAGGTTTTTTCAACGTAGTATTCACACATTTAAAATGATGGACCTGGCTGCATGCACAACCTGTATTTGAATTCAGTAATACTTGCATTTGTTGTCTGTTGATAAGATTATTTAGAGTTTCAGAACAGGTAGGTTGCAATAAGACTCTAGCTGGTTCTTTCTTTTTATTGTGTGCATGTTATTCACTGGTACGTTTTATTCTTTAGTGGCTTAAAAAGTGGATAAAGAAGTGCAATGATGATAGTGAAACATCAAACTGGATATCGGCAAACACAAAGGTTTGTTTCCTTGTTGTAACTGTATGCAAAGAAAGTTAAATGTATGTCAAAGCTGCTCTTCACACAATGTATTAGTAAGCTTCAATTGCTCAGGGTTATTTTTCTGTGAAACATGTGAAATCTACTCTCAAGCTTATGTTAGTTCCTTTAGTATTCCCCTTAGAGTTCATGCTCCTGGGTGAGGAGAGCTGCTGTGAGAGTAAAGTGCCTTGCCCAAGAACATAAAACAATGCATGCAGTAGCTGAACTTAGGTCTGGAACTCTCAATGCACAGTGATTAAACACCACACTTTCCACAGTGTACAGCAATACAGTCTAACTTCTGCTAATGAAAATCCCCTGCAGGCGAACACCTCCTACAGGAATAAACTTAGCTATAGCCAGCCACATGCAAACACTACTTTGTTAACTCCCCATTGGAAGACGTCTTCCCTGATCAGACACTTCTTTTGGTGCCAAGTCTTAATGTTTCCACCGTAACACTGCGAAGTGTTGCTTACCTGGTAACCTGGGAAGATTAAAATCATTTTAAACCATCTGCCTATGCTTCATTCTCTCACCTTTTGTACTTGAGAATTTATTAATATTAAATGTATTTCTTTTTTTGGTAGGAATGCCCCAAGTGCCATGTTACTATAGAAAAGAATGGCGGCTGTAATCACATGGTTTGTCGCAACAACAATTGCAAGGTAACATTCTTCACTGGAATTATGTTTGGCCATGACAAACATTTTTTTTTACTGTTGTTTACCATGATAGCTATTCCCGTTACTGACAGTTTGGAGAAACAAAAATTTTCTGTGTTTCTGTCAAGTTATAGAAATGCCAGTGGAAGATTGGGAGAATACGAAATTATGTGGGAACATGATGTGAACAAGATAGTTTACACAGCGTTTTCATTTACTTTAATTCTGTCACAAGTGCTTCTACCACGCTATGAAAACATTTGAGACAACTTTTTTCGATTCTTTTAGAAAACACTGTAAGGAAGCGATAGGAAAATGGCTTTTTAAGGAAGCGATAGGAAAATGGCTTTTTGATTGTGATTCATCAAAATGTTAATTCTCTCTGTTTGGACAATCAATGCGTCAACAGCTGTGTTTCTAGTGAGTTTTAAGAATGCAAGTGCTGTATACCTGCTATTGGAGCTGAGCGTGCATTGTATTTTTCACCACCCCTTCTCAGGTGCAAATATTTTCTCCTTTCAGTGCTATATTCTAAACCAAATAGATCATGGTGTTCCTATGTTGAAGGCAATAATGCACTTTTGGGGTCTAGAAAAATTGATGAACGCACTCGCGTTCCGCTCGTGCGTTCAAGTTACTCTTCCTTTTTTTTTTTTTTTTTTTTTGGGTGGGGGGGGGATGTCAAAAAGGCTGCTGCGGAGGAGACTACTCGTGCGTCCACCTGCAGTTTTGCTTGACCTCAAGCGTGAATCATTTTCCTAGAGAACGTGGAACACCATCTTCTATTTGGTAAGTAGAATCACCGCTTTATGTGCCAGCAGGTATTTTGTAGCTGAGCATGTGATTTTGTATAGTTAACGACTCTGAATAATTGGTGGTCTTTGTTCTTGTTCTTTCTTTCTAAAGGCTGACTTTTGTTGGATGTGCCTGGGGCCTTGGGAACCACATGGATCAAGTTGGTTAGTGTCCCTTCCATTTTGGATACCATTAAGCAGTTCATTTTAAGACGAAATCCAATAGGAAATCGAGCAAGTTCAGTTTTGAAGGGACAAAAACCTAGTAGCAGAATAACTTTAAGCATGCTACTGTCCTTTTTACATTTTCTAAAAGCTACATATATAAATAGTTGCCTGAGGTAACACCAAAAACAATTTCCTATGGAAACTCGAGAAAATGTGTTTCATAGATCAGAGAAATTGTGCAAACACAGGTAAATTTTCCTCATCAGTTTCATTTCACCAGTACTTTCAAGCGTTTCATATGAACTTTAAAATTTGTTTTCGACATATGGTGTTGTTAGAAATGATTTCTTTTGAGGAGATATTTAGAACAGTCGCACGGAAGTTTCTAATACCATGTAAATAATCTTGGTAAAAAGTTTTTGTCCGCTTGTTACTCGAACTTGTGGTGGATTCCTTCTTGACACAATTGAGGATCTGTGATCGATATTTTGAACATTGTTTATTTGGTTTGAAATGAGATGAAAAGAAAATGGACAAAAAAATTCAATTTATCCAGTTGTCTGCGATAATTCCCAAGTATTTCACTCGTATGCTATAGGACTTTCAGTGGAGTGTTTCACTCATATTTCTTGTCCTCACAGACGTCAAGCACAAAATCGTGCCATAAAATAATATAAGTTGCGTTTATTTATGTCACCTCACGGAGTTAGGTAGTGCATCATTTAAATAGTCCTTTGTTGAATTCTTTTTCGGTTTTTATTGATCTGCTTGACTGAGCTCCTTTACTGTTCTCTGGTGTGTGATTTGTTTTCAGGTACAGTTGTAATCGTTATGATGAGAAAGATGCCCAGGCAGCCAGAGATGCCCAAGCTGTAAGTACTGATACTTACTTTCAATTGAGTGATCACTTTTCCAAGGACACTTTCCCAAGACAATCATTTTATTATTTCTTTTAGAAATCACGGCAAGCCTTGGAGCGTTACTTGTTCTACTGTAATCGCTATATGAATCATGCCCAGAGTGCCAAATTTGAAACCAAGGTGAGAAAACGAGGAATCAACACATTTTAAAATGCTGATAAGTTTATTTGCTGCGTCCGTAGGGTTTGCAATGGAAGGCGGCGTTGCTGAGTGGCTAAGGGTGCTAGATTTGAAATCTGGAGGTCCCTGGTTCAAATTCTCCACTCTACCACTATCTGGATTTGTTCTCGCTTGTCCCGAGTTCAACTCCTCGACCGTGTCGTGTAAATAGCCAACTTGTCAGCCTCGCACCAGCTGGGATTATTAATAGTAAATGTTCTGTGTGCAATATTTGTTTATTTAAATACGGTGTCGCCAGTTAGCTCGACAGTGCTAAATACATTCGACTCTTAAATAAAGTGATTTATTTTATTTACTTTTATGTAATCCTAATTTGNGTTATAAGTTCTTCAGTGTTTTATCCTCCAGTGACTTTATCAGTGAAAGATCTCTTTCCATTTTAATGTAACCTCCGACATCACAAACCAGGTTGGAAGAATTCCTACTTTCAAAACTTTGCGTCTTTTAATGTAGATGTAGTGAAGTCCCTACAATTGAGGGAGGGAAAAAAACTGATAGAGGAGAGTCAGGGTGGAGATGACGAAGGAAGGAAGAAAGGGGAAGAGTCAGAATGGAAAAAAAAATGGTTCTTAAATATGAAAAGCTTATAGATATATCTAATATATTTATAAATAACATATTTATAAATATATCTTTAAATATATCTTTTATCAAAATATAAGATATATTTAAAGGGAAGTCCCGTGCCAGAGGTCATCTCTAGTTTCTCTAGCATGAAGCCATTAGGAGTATTTCTTCTAACCCTGCGTGGAATGCTAGTCCATTGTGCAGGTTAGGCCTCTAATTTTTCTCATGTTACCTCAACAATTTACATGGTATCCATTTCTACTCCTGGGCAGATCGAGAGAGGCACTGTGAGAGCTTTATGTAATGAGTGCAAAGTGTCTTGCTCAAGGTAACTACACAATCAACCCCACAACAGAGCCTTAATTCTAACCTGGATCTACGCTCTAACCATTGCACCTCCTCACCTCCTATGTTTCAATTATAGCCATAGTTTATACATTTACAGACACTGGTGGGTTTTTTTTACCTTTAAGTACAATAATCTCAGGCTCTTGACCGGCAACGAGCACCAGCGACAACAACAAGAGCCATGGCCTCTGAAGCAAAGCCATTATCAAGTTAGAAGAAGAATCTGGAACCCACTGCAAGGGATTGCATAATTAGTTTGTTTTTAGTGATCTTAATATCACATCACATCACTTACTTATATACCTAGCTGTTTTTGATAAATTACTGATCTTATTGATCTTTTTTTAATACTTTCTCATATATGCACATACGCATTTTAACCAGACGGTGACACAACATAAAAAGGGTCAACCTTTATTGAAATCCTAAACTCTCGAGCCAGCATTTTTAAGCTGGTTCACATGTTTAATTTGAATGTGTTTCGGATGGATTCATAGCAACATCAATCTTTTTTTCCAAATTAGAAAACCTAAACTACGGATATTTAAGTTCAGCTTCTGATGGTCTGAAATTGGAGAAAATTTGACCACAGCTCAACATAGATGTTCCTATATAAGGTCGGAACTGAGGCTCTAATGAAAGACCATGAAAACGTCCGGATTGTCCACGCAAAATCCTTGATAGTGAGGGGAATACTAGGACGAACAAATGTAGACCAGTCTTACTCAAATAGTTTGATTTAAATTCTAAGCTGTGCACGAAGACTCATTTTCTCACAACTCCTTGAGAATAATATTCTGCCCATAAATGGAAGAACTGAGCAAGAAAAAGTTATAAAATCTGAGGTGAAAATTACCATCTACCTGGAAGGACTAAGCTTTCTTTCCCTTTGAGTTCTGAAATAAACAATTTACCATATCGCAGCCGAGTGTTTCTTTTTCTCTTATGAAATTGTTCAAATAGTAAGATCGAAAAAAACAAAAAGACAAGAAAACAATTCGCCATTTCCACATGCCCCATAATACACCTTGTTTGCCCCCCAAAATTCTGCATAACCTTTGTTTCCCATTTCTCCTGGGTATTACAGTGGACCCATGAGAAACTGAAGACAAGGCTTATGCAAAATTTTGAGGGGCAAACAAGGTGTTTAATGGGGGACGTGGAAATGGCGAATGAAACGAGAAAAAATTGAATCAAATTTACACTTCTTTAGTAATGATGCGGAAAAGGCGAATGACAAATGAAAATGTTAACTTTGTAAAAGGCTATGGGAGACAGTAGCCGGGAACGAATTTACCAGCAATGATAACCCAACTGGTCTGATAAAACGTAAGAGTTAGTGTAAACACATACGTTTGTCGATGGTACAGACACCGCGCCATTGATGACTGTAATGCAACTTAGAATAAATGACCGTACTTGAAAAAGATTACTTAGTCGCGTCAGTCGGAAAAGAGTTGAGTTTTGTGAAATAAGGAAAAGCGGGCAACCCGATGTTAAACTCGTCCCTATTCAGAAGGATCAACTTAAAACCCGTTTAGTAAACGCTTTTCGATCCTTTCATCCATAATACTGAATAATTTTTGAATGGCGTTGGCTCTTTCAATAACACTTACAATGACTACTGAATCATGCATATAACTGTCTAAACGCAACATTAGGGTGTCGAAACTTACCACGAACAAGCACTTTCGGCTAATTTTGTATTTCTTACCTGCTACTTGCTTCGAGGGAGTAGAGTTTCCGATAGAAACAATTTCATCTGGTCAATACAGGGAAATTACATTACCTGGCTGTTTGTTCAACGAGCTAAAATGTCAGGTAATTGCCAATGGGAAACCAGTAATGCAATATGCCACACCTGCTCTTGTCAAGTTTCAAAACTGGCAAAAGAATTCTTTAAATCAATTTATCTGAAGAAGAGTCAGTGAACGCTTTTAATATCCAAAACGTTCGTTGAAAATTTTGGGTTTGTTTTCTAGAGGCTTTATCACCCAAAGTCAACTTACCGCTTACATACCTTCAATTAATTGGTTATATTTGAAGAGCCAGTTCAAACACTTTGTGTAATTTGACAGGTTTTGTTCCGGCAGCACACGGCCATTATTAATAGTTCCCCTGTAAGGAAGAAACTTTAAGAAACCCTGCTTAACTGACCGCATCAGACTTGTCAAATAAGTTCTTAGAAATGAATTTTTTTCAGTAAATTGTCCTATTTGTGCAGATGATGATTAGAGAGCTTTTCTCTTTGGAACATTTTTGCAGACATACGTTTGTGATCTTGGCAACGAGATGCAATTTGAAGTTTTGCCCACGCCTAATGTAATTAAGTGAATCACTTTCAAGGACCAACGCTACGGATGTAGCCTAAGTGCTTCAAATTGGTCTTTCATAATGCCTCTCATTCTTTCCAATATTTAACAATCCTTGCCCTTTTTTTTTTTTTTTTTTTTTGGGAGGGGGGGGGATGTCAAAAAGGCTGCTGCGGAGGAGACTACTCGTGCGTCCACCTGCAGTTTTGCTTGACCTCAAGCGTGAATCATTTTCCTAGAGAACGTGGAACACCATCTTCTATTTGGTAAGTAGAATCACCGCTTTATGTGCCAGCAGGTATTTTGTAGCTGAGCATGTGATTTTGTATAGTTAACGACTCTGAATAATTGGTGGTCTTTGTTCTTGTTCTTTCTTTCTAAAGGCTGACTTTTGTTGGATGTGCCTGGGGCCTTGGGAACCACATGGATCAAGTTGGTTAGTGTCCCTTCCATTTTGGATACCATTAAGCAGTTCATTTTAAGACGAAATCCAATAGGAAATCGAGCAAGTTCAGTTTTGAAGGGACAAAAACCTAGTAGCAGAATAACTTTAAGCATGCTACTGTCCTTTTTACATTTTCTAAAAGCTACATATATAAATAGTTGCCTGAGGTAACACCAAAAACAATTTCCTATGGAAACTCGAGAAAATGTGTTTCATAGATCAGAGAAATTGTGCAAACACAGGTAAATTTTCCTCATCAGTTTCATTTCACCAGTACTTTCAAGCGTTTCATATGAACTTTAAAATTTGTTTTCGACATATGGTGTTGTTAGAAATGATTTCTTTTGAGGAGATATTTAGAACAGTCGCACGGAAGTTTCTAATACCATGTAAATAATCTTGGTAAAAAGTTTTTGTCCGCTTGTTACTCGAACTTGTGGTGGATTCCTTCTTGACACAATTGAGGATCTGTGATCGATATTTTGAACATTGTTTATTTGGTTTGAAATGAGATGAAAAGAAAATGGACAAAAAAATTCAATTTATCCAGTTGTCTGCGATAATTCCCAAGTATTTCACTCGTATGCTATAGGACTTTCAGTGGAGTGTTTCACTCATATTTCTTGTCCTCACAGACGTCAAGCACAAAATCGTGCCATAAAATAATATAAGTTGCGTTTATTTATGTCACCTCACGGAGTTAGGTAGTGCATCATTTAAATAGTCCTTTGTTGAATTCTTTTTCGGTTTTTATTGATCTGCTTGACTGAGCTCCTTTACTGTTCTCTGGTGTGTGATTTGTTTTCAGGTACAGTTGTAATCGTTATGATGAGAAAGATGCCCAGGCAGCCAGAGATGCCCAAGCTGTAAGTACTGATACTTACTTTCAATTGAGTGATCACTTTTCCAAGGACACTTTCCCAAGACAATCATTTTATTATTTCTTTTAGAAATCACGGCAAGCCTTGGAGCGTTACTTGTTCTACTGTAATCGCTATATGAATCATGCCCAGAGTGCCAAATTTGAAACCAAGGTGAGAAAACGAGGAATCAACACATTTTAAAATGCTGATAAGTTTATTTGCTGCGTCCGTAGGGTTTGCAATGGAAGGCGGCGTTGCTGAGTGGCTAAGGGTGCTAGATTTGAAATCTGGAGGTCCCTGGTTCAAATTCTCCACTCTACCACTATCTGGATTTGTTCTCGCTTGTCCCGAGTTCAACTCCTCGACCGTGTCGTGTAAATAGCCAACTTGTCAGCCTCGCACCAGCTGGGATTATTAATAGTAAATGTTCTGTGTGCAATATTTGTTTATTTAAATACGGTGTCGCCAGTTAGCTCGACAGTGCTAAATACATTCGACTCTTAAATAAAGTGATTTATTTTATTTACTTTTATGTAATCCTAATTTGCTCCTCTTTCTTTTCCTTTTATGTTATTCCTATCGTACTTAGTGATTTTGCTTGTGTTTATAAGATTTCTTGTTACGGTGAAACGTGTTCTTGTGCGAAGCCTGTCAGAGCTCTCTTTTTCTGGTCTGTTATTTTGTGCCGTGAAAACCGTCTCCTTTAGGCCATATTTTCTACTGGCCTTCGACAAAAAAAAAAAAGATTTAAATATCTGGGTTTGCTGCTATGACTGGATGTGAAGTTCATGTATGGAAGACCAACAGAAAGACATCATGAAGTTGTCAAACATTAAGCGAAACTTGAAGGAACTGGAAATAAACGTGGCGTTTAACTTAATACTGGTTTAAAGCGTTCATTTAAGGGCTCTTTTTTTTCATTTTTGGCGCGTTAGTTGTATGCTCAAGTCAAGCAGAAGATGGAAGAGATGCAGCAGCACAACATGTCATGGATTGAGGTTTGTATCTTCTCCAATTTTGTGAATTGTTTCTGTTTAATTTGTAAGGAAAGCGCGATTAAAGGTTATATATGCTCTACTTTCAGGTTCAGTTTCTTCGAAAGGCCGTAGATGTTCTGTGTTTGTGCAGAAACACACTGAAATACACTTACGTGTTCGCTTTCTACCTCAAGAAAAACAACCAGTCCGTCATCTTTGAGGTACAGAAAACTGCTTGTTTCTTACTGTAGCCTGATTTATGCTACAAAACGTATGCTCACTTTACAGTCCTTTTCTTTCGGCGTTTGACACGTTTCTCATTGAGCTTTTAGAACATAAAGAGGGAACAACCTAGTCTGTTCACACACCCTTTATTTTGTCTCGATCTCGTCGAGATTTCAAGTAAAACATTAACCGTGTGGGACTTGAACGATCCTAAATGCAAGGGTATGGGGCTGGGTAAAGACACAAATAGAGTTTCTCGAAGAATAAGTCGCGAAAAATAAGCCGCAGAAAAAAAAAAACGCCTGTGGACAGACTAGGAACAACATGTTTATCGATGGATGCACTGAGTCCTTTATGTAATCGGTAATCTACACTTTCCTCCTCTTTCTTTCTTCCCCTTCCTTCCACCATCCCACGGTCACCATCTCACCATCTCACCATTCCACCCTCCCTCCCTCTCTCACCCTACCCTCTCATCTTCTCGCGCTTGTAGATAGATAGATAGATAGATAAACTTTATTTAAACACGATAATAATTAAAGCTAAAAGCTTGTGGGGTCGTGTATTTAAATTTAACTTTGCTAAAATTTTAAAATTACGATTAAAATGTTTAGATTACAATTCCTAGATTTACAATAAAATTAGTTATTTAATTAATTGCTAACTTTTTGTGTTTGAGAAATAGCTCAGGACACTAATGTGTTTGGTGTCTTTTGCTTCAACACAGGACAATCAAAAAGATCTAGAAATGGCCACAGAAACTCTGTCTGAGTACCTAGAGCGTGACATAACGTCCGAGTGTTTATCAGATATAAAACAGAAGGTCCAAGATAAATACAGGTACCTTATTTACCCGCATCCCTACTGCTTTCCTGTTTTCCTTTCCTCGTTGATCCTTGGTGATCCGAGTTTTCAATCTATGCTTCCCGTAACAATGGTTACTTTATTGTGTTTATAATAATAGGTAGACTTCGAGTAGTCCCTCTTTCGCTTAGTCCGTCGAGCGCCATCGTAAAGAAACTGGCAGAAAAAAAAAGGCCGCGAGAAATCGTGGGGGCGAGAAGCGCGCTCCTTGCCCCCAGGATTTCGCGCGGCCATTTTCTCTCGTGTCACGCACGACGGACAAAGCGAAATCGCCTAGCGCACAACGGACTAAGCGAAAAATTGGTTTCTTTCTTGCCTGACACACGACGGACTGAGTGAAAGCGGGACTACTCGTAGTCTACTCTATAGATAAAAAGGTAGTTTTTCTCTTGAAATTTACTCAAAGTGCTGTTTCTTAACCATATCCTCAGGTACTGCGAAGCGAGACGAAAAGTTCTTTTAGACCACGTATATGAGGGCTACGAAACGGACATATGGGAATACATCGATTATGACTAAAGCCCTAGATTCGTAAGATAAAAAAAAAGACATGTAATGTAATGTTAGGATATAAAAAGGAGTTAACTGGATCAGATTACTTACTGTTATATAGTTAAAGACGAAGTTCGTATTTGCAAATGTTATTAGAAAATTACGTAGAAATGTACATAAAATCGAACAAATTCCTTGGTAGATTTCTTCCTCTCGTTCCTGTTTGTGGCTCAGTGTTTATCTACTTCATGTAAACTGTACTCGTGGCGTACCACCAAGCCAAAACCTATACTTGACCATTTCCAGACTCGCTATTTCCTGATGTGACGAACACAGTGCAAAGACAATATACATATAACAAAGAAATACATTTGAAAGAAACAAAATCTTTCATATTAAGATGCGAGTCAGGGAGGCGCTCCCTTACATAGTATTCTCGCAAAGTGGAAAGCAGGAAAACCCGGTTTGACCTACCGGACAGTTTCAATGTTTTATACTTGTTAATCGAAAGTCTTTTTGACAGTTTTTAAGACGGTGTGAACATGTGCAGTCGCGTAAATCATGTGTTGTATTTCTGTGGTAAACGAGTTTTAGCAAGACTGAGAAAGCGCTTATGTTTTTTCCGAGTGTCTTTTTAACAGGTGATTAATTGATTGATTTGTTGTCGATCAAGTTACAGCACAAAGCTGCGCACCTGTATTCCGATTGAACTGTGGCTTTAAGCGGCAAGGAAAGCTGCGTATTGTTGAACAAACAGCAAAGTAAGAATCGAGCGGTAAGATGTATTTGTTGTGCTCTGGGAATATATTTGTTTCAGTAAAATTCGCACATCGTAGCTATCACTGAGTTGAAGCTGCACTGATTTAGAAAAGGCCTGATGCTATCATATACAGGATAGATTACTGATACCTTAGCGACGTCTGACGGTTCACCGTGTTTCCTCCATGTCTAGGATGGAAACATGTTTTCCTTAATGTTGACTACTCTCTTGTCAACCTGATGTGTGTTTCCACGTTTCTTTTAACTTACTTTTTGAAATGCTGTTGCTGTAAATAAACTCAGTTATTAAATTGTTGTCTTTGCTCTTAGTTCCTCCCTTCTGAGTTTCCAAATATGTGTTTACAATTAACACACGTTCAGTTTTCATCTGAAAAGAATAGTAATGAGTATTTCTACTGAAATGGTTACTTAGACAGTAAGGCCGACATCTCACAAACAGGGTCACATCATGGGAAAATTTGTGAAGAACAGCAAACACAACAGGCCGCCATTTGGCTTTTAAAGTATAACCCATATTTTGCTTACAGACACTATCTGGCACTAAGTTCTGTCAAACTTTGTTCTCGGAAATGTTTGTTTTTCGTAACAGATATATTCGAGATTATTTTCACTCATGTCTGTTTCTTGAAAGAACCTAAACCCGATCTGTTATGGCGCGCCTAGAACCGAATGGCAACCAGACGACGAGGAAAAGATCAGTTTTTTTCCTTATGTCGTTAAGTTCATACTGTTATTTTGCTGTTATGTTATCATTTCAGGATGTTCGCACTGCAGTCAACGACATCATGTCCTTATGTCGTTATGTTGCAAGTGTAAACCACCCTTACTTCACAGGGTCTGTGACGCCTGGAGCGAACTGAAACTCGCATCATTCACTTAAGGAGCATAAGGGTCAAGTCCCCACGAACATTGCATAATACAGTAGGACTTAAACTACAAATGCCAAAACCGTCGTCAAGGGATGCACATTAGCAATTTACATTCGATGTTGTGTTTGACAATGACCCTACTGAAAAATCGTTTGTAACAATTTATAGAAAGAACATGTTCGTGGGCTGCATTTCTGTGTCTCCAAGAATACAAAGAGAAAAGTCTCTTATGGTAATCACAAACCTGCGATCAGGCGTTCTTTTAATCACGAGCCTTGTCCACCATAGTGCGGTGATTTAAGTCGATGTCCTATAATACATACATAAATATTGATTTCAGTTCTCTTTATTATTTCCGGCATTGGGTGCGTTCAACATACAGCAATGATGTCCTTGATAGCTAGGTTTTTCCTGGCTTGTGCACTTTTTTCTACCGTATTTGGCACCAGTTTTGTATTCGCTCTCAATGATTCGTCATTGGTTTCCTTTTGGTGATCCTGGGAGCTGTACTGTTTGAAAAGGAGGTCATCGATTCGAAGTTCTATCCGGCAACGGATGGGAGAATGAGGAATAAACATATGGGTGTTGTTTCATTGCTGAATTACTCCCAACTGTACAACCTCAGATGACGGCAGGTATCTTCTGCCCGATAATGTGTTCCTTTATCCTAGTCAAGGAAAGCAAAGTGCACACGTTCGCCGAGCTCACTGGAAGGTCTACGCTTCCACAACAACAAAGTCTATCAACGCTGAATCCTTAAGAAAATTTTCGTTTGGCAGGACAGGCGGTTCGTATTCTTCTGAATACTGTAAATTTGTACTGAAATTGTTGCTTGGAACGTTAAGGACAG